TAGTAAAGTTCCTGCATATGCAATTTCAACCTTATACATACATCCCTAAAGAAACTGATTTTTTTTTCTTTTCTTTTTTTTTTTTTGTAAATTTAAGAGGGATAACTCTGACAAAAATCATTGGACGATGACCAAATTTGAACTTGGCCTGCGTATTCCTATGTCGTAACCACATATCAAATTTGAGTTGAATGTGTGCAACTGTTGCCGAGATAATGAACGGAAAATCAATGATGACAGAATGTCGGAATGACAGAACAGGGTAATACTACATGTATATGTCCCCAGCCATTTTATGGTGGGGGATAAAAATATGGCAGATTATGTGAGGTCGGTGTTGTTTGCGAGGTCTGAGAATTATCGCAGTCTGTGGATTTTCGTACATTTTTGTGAGTTTTATGCTGCAGTTAAAAATAAGTCCAGGTAACACCCAAGCATTTGTTATATTCCGCTCACATTTGATTTCTTTTTATTTAACAGCTTTAAAAAATGACAAAAAGAGATGAAATCCGTGAAGAAAAGTCCGATTCATTTGTTATTTTTGTACAACTCTGGATACACTCAACACTACACATAATTATGTAGCAAATCATTCCATACCACGAATTGAAAAACTCAAACCTTGTGACAAAAAATGTACTTCGTTATCGAGAAACAAAAAAGATCATATACATATATAACAGTATAAATTAAATTTTCATTTGGTTTGTCTTACACTCGGGCTATAATTATATCATACCTGAGGCTAAGTTCGATATAACTCACTAATAAAACACTGAACCAAAGATTGCTCTATCCGAAAAAAAAATGTTGTAGGTCATAATAAGGCCTCCAAAATCTTTTTTTTTTTTATTATGGATATATAGCAGGTTATTATTTTTTTTACCGTTCCAGGAATCTAAAATGTTTTTTTTTCCTTTTTCGGAAAGGTATTTTACCGTCTATCATGCCTTTTGATTACTAGTCTTATGAAAAGTATAATTATGCCTTTTCGTCTTTTCTTCTCGCGTTATTAAGATGCCCTACGTATTTCCAATTTGCGTTATAATATCTTTCAAAATAAAATTTCCCGTAGTTTGATCCTAATACAAAAGGTATTTTAAATGACAGTTTTTATGAATCATTTTACGTAGTATACTTATAAAGTAATATGAAATAGAGTAGTTCAACGTTGAAAGAATAAATTTATCTCTAACTTTTTTTGTCCATTCCTTGAATGATATTAATTTGTCACATTAAAATATATATCAGATTTGCATTTTTTTTTCTCCATCCAGTTTGATTGACTATACTGAAATAGATTCTCAAGCGATAGATATTCACAAACTGTAAACAAAAATACAAATAACTGACAATTTTGGTACTTTTCAATGTTTTTTTTTTTCGGATTTACAATTTTCTCTACAGGACTTTTTCTTTTGTATCGTCAAAGAGATCCCTTAAGAAAGAAAATAAAAAATAAGAATCTAATATAAGAATCTAATATCCTCAGTTATTACGATGTCTTAAGACTCAGACAAAGCTGAAAAGAATTGAAATCGTGCGTATTTCCTTTGCATATTAAGCTCTTCATCAAAACAGATTTCCCAGGAAACAAAGGATAAGCGTTTTGGTGATGAGGATTATAAGGTGAATAGCATGCTCAATAAAAAAATTTAGCCATAATTCACTGCATCCATTGTATATATCAACAAGCTGTTACTAGTGGAAATAATCATACGATTATATGGCATTCCTGTTCTTTCTTTCAATTCAATGTATTTATGGTTTGAATGGGGGGGGGGGGGGGGGCAAGCATTTTGCTTGGTCTGAAAATTAAAGAAAAACCCACAAGGAATACTTACATGTGCAATCATTAGTCTCTAGTACGGAAGCGTATAATTAGTGCCAGGTAATATATATATTTTTTAAGTTGATTATTCTAACTTTAAAGTTGGTAATTTTAACTTTCCCACCTTGAATTTTGTAATTCCAATATTAAAGTTGGCTTTTCCAACTTTAATCTTGGCTTTTCCATTTTGAATTTGAGCTTTTTTTTCTTAGCCTTTCCTTAGCCTTTTCCCTTATTTAATATTATCATCAGCTTTATTAATGCAAACCAAATACACTGAAACAAATTCGTGAACCGTTAAATTGTGTCAATTTTTTTTGACGTTGACCTTCTCTATGACCTTGCATATAACTTCCAACTTTAAAGTCCCTGATATTTCTCTTGGTCCTTCTTATATTATAATGATAACTTCATACAACTGCGGAAATGAGAGCATTTCAACCGTACTTATTTAAGAGATCAGACATGTAATTATAAATCTGTTATTTATGAGAGAATGAGCTTAAACAAATAAGACCATATTAGGTGTTTGATATATAGGATGAATAATCACATTTTTCAGGATACAATGACAACTACATTAAATGTATCAACTCTGCATATGAAAACGCAATGAAAATTTTCCTTTCTCCATCATGAATTCTTCGTAATTAAATTGTTTCTTCCATAATGATTACAATTAGAAAAAATACTTCCTCTGTCTGCTGCAAAGTATACGAATGAAATGCATGAAGTCGTAAAAAGTTAAAAAAGCTCAGATTAAAATAGCCTTTTTCAAGTCTAAAGTTGGAATTACCAACTAAAAGAAAGTTATGTGGCACTTTTAAGTTTCGGTACTCTAGACAGGGACACTTTTGAATTATATTCACGGCTTAATTTGCGAAGTCTTTATTTTTGGAAATATTGTGTGTGTTTATTGTTTTGTTTTGTTTTTCTGTTTTTGTTTTTGTTTTTTTTGTTTCTGTTTTTGTTTGTTTTGTTTTTTTTTTGCTAAGTTTCTAGTTTAATTCATCTGTTTCGCGTTTCTTATTGCAGACTAACGTGTTCAATGACATGTGATTCTTAGTTATCCCGAATCAAAGATTCTAGTACCAAAAATACCTCCTAGATTTAATTGAGCTATTTTAGTTACAGACGAAAAATTCTTGTGCCCACTTGTATATAACTTAACATGTAAATTACTATATCTTTGAATGCATATCAGTAATGATGGTTTCAATTGCTGCAAGTGAACAATTTTTCCAGATGATCAATAACTTAGAAATTTCTGAGAGAGGTTCATTAAAAGCCATGAAATGACCAAACTTGTATTTACTGTATGTTGTTTCGGGGGGAAATCTCTGTCATTCATTTATCGGATTCTGCGTGTGACTACATTTTAGCTTCAGGCGTCAGGCAAAAGCGTAAATGATCCTCTGTGGCTAGCTGAGACATCCGGTAATTAATTGCGCGCACATGACGCCATGGGTCATCTGAAGCATAATTGATAATTAGATATGTGTACATTCAATGACACAAAATATGGCAATTTAATTAAGATGTCTGCACACATTAAAATTGACCTACTGCAAAATAAACATCTAAGAAAACAAGTTTACATTAACAGCCGAAGCAAGACTGATAGCATTTATCCGGAGATGCCATCCTGGTATATATGCACGATTGGTCAAATTGTTGTTCCAAAACATCTTTCCAATCACTCATTCAGAAAATATATATTGTAGTCATTCATGCAAGTTTGATCAACATAAGAATTATAACTACTTGGGAATAAATTCGTCCGAAAAAAAATGCCACCTGCAGCATCCGATACTTTATTATAATCTACAACCTTAGCATCACTACTTCATAAACAGAATCAAACTCTTCAGAGTTCCTGTGACAAACTTTCAAAAGGAAACCACGCCCTTTTGAGCCCTTTGGGAGTCATGGAACATGATATCAAAATTCCGGAATCATTCATATTTATATCATTTGGCAAATCATATGCTAAGATAATTTTTGCAACCACTTTAAATGGATTGGTAATATTGTATAGTATTTAAAGAACACTGACCTTCTAAAGGCCGCTGGGTGACTCAGTGGTCAAAATTTCAGTTTCAAAACCTTATTGGAGATCTTAAGGGCATAATCAATTATTATATTACATGTACTTAGTAGCATACAAATGATATCAATGTTTTTAAGTATCTCATCTTAATCACGTTTTTCTTTAATTAAAAAAACTGATAGGTATTTGAAATAGTTTTATTGGAACTTAAAATATAATTAAAACTGACGGAGAACACATAAAACGTGGAATTCTGTCTATTATCACCAAACTCCTTATGTCTAAATGTTGTCAATATCAAGGTTTTTTCTGCTGTTTGAAAAATCTGAGCAATGTACTCATGGTGGAATGCAATCTCTTAAGAATAATTATATCTCATATCTCAAGCGGTATCAAATGACTATTACATCCCTCATTATATCATACTACCCATCCCTCCGTCAGTTTACAACACTTCTCTTCTTACATTTTAAGTCTCAAAGTACACATACATGTATATTCTAGATTTCTAGTATCCAAAAAACATTAAATCAAGTTTAAATAAATTTAAAAAAAATATTATAGGTAATTTACCACAGGTACATTTAGTGTGTTTTTACAGGTTACCCTAAAGCTTCAGTAGATATTTAAAGATATACACCACAAACAAATTTTCTTATCTCCCACACAGAAGAGTACGCTGGCATTTATTTTTTTACAATGTTTCTTTCAATGGAAATGTAATTAAGACATTTTATTTTCAAAAAAAAAAAAAAAAAAAAAATATTGAACTGTAAAGTTGCGTTTTTGCATTTTCGCCAAATGTTGTGCTTGGCCAAACATTAAGCTGTTTAACTAAACAAATATCACTTCTAAAGTGAGAGAGGCACATATTTTAGCAAAGATATTTGACTTTTGGGAGAAAAAAAATTGCTTGTGTTATTTGTCCTTCAGTCTTCTACCTATGGTTTTCTGTCAAATTCAACATCCAATCTGCAGATATGATTATTGATTGTTAATTATTCAGTCTCTATCTGCTAAAGCTTATATATAAATATACAGCGCCTGGTTAGTGAGAACCAATGGAGATTGCGGATTTGAGCATTGATTATATGTAACAGAGGCTCTTGTTTTCAGTAAACAGATTTATTCTGAGTACCTTCAGATAAGACGACGGGCTTATGTTTCAAAGTTTTTTCTTACAAGAAAAGAAAGTTAAAAGTTGATAACTGGATATCTTGATTTCATTACATACTCTATAGAATAATTAATTTTTATTTGGAATTGGTCCATTTTAATAGACGGAGGTGAAATACAGATGAGTTCTGAAACAGATCTAGATTTGGAATCTTCAATTCGTTTTAATCAAAGTTTTCCATTTGTTGATGTTTATACAACAGCTCCCAATGACGGAATTTTATTTATGAAATTTTCTTGTCAAAATGCTTTTGAGGACATTCAGAGGAACGGTTCTTGCAAAAACCAGACAGAGGAAGTATTACCGATGGATTTAGTGTTCACGGACGAAAACATGGTTTCCATTGTGGCTTACACGTGTATGTTTATTGTGGCGGCATGCGGTAACCTTACGGTCTTCATCACATTGTTTAGGAATCGTAACATCAAATCTCGTGTAAATCAGTTCATTTTTCACCTGTCCATTGCTGATCTGGTTGTTACATTTATCATGCTCCCCCTGGAGATAATATGGAACATCACAGTAGCCTGGAAGGCGGGGGATCTGGCCTGTAGGATTCTTATGTTTTTCCGAATTCTTGGATTGTACCTGTCGTCTTTCATTCTTGTGACCATAAGTTTAGATAGATATTTTGCCATTGTACATCCGCTGAGTTTAAACGACGCAGATAAGAGGGGACCGATCATGCTTATTTTGGCGTGGTGTTTTAGTATTGTAGCCAGCATCCCACAGGTAAGTTACAGTACAATCATGTTATATAAAGAATCCCAACGAATGTGGCTCCGTGACACATGAACATGTTCATCTTTTTTTTTTACTTTACGGACTGATGATAGAGTATATTGAACAATACTTCATTTTAGATATACTAAGCAATAAGCTAAAAAAAAATCATTTATTTAAAATTTAAAAAAAATTGATCCGTGTTCAAAATTGTGACATTATAAAATCTCGGTTGCCCCCCCCCCCTCTCTCTCTCTGTGAGGGTGTTTGTGTGGTCAAAGATTGTCCTGAATTAAAATATTACCAAATGTGTAAGGCCGCTTATTGAAGAGAATTCACCAGCGGCTTACAGTGTCAATGTGATAGCTTTGTCAATTTATTTCTGGATAAATACCATGTAGTAGATGTAGTTGTGTCTACAAATAAAGGTAAATATGAGACATTTTTTAAAGTTAAAAGTTATCAAACTGAAATACTTACAGTTATATTAAATTGATTTGTTAAACTACATCAAGAGCGTCAAGTAAAATGGTAAAGTACTCCTTTCAAAGCTGTTTGACATGTTGTGAAAACAAAACAAACAAACAAAAAAAAAAAAAAACAAAAAAAAAAAAAAAACCAAGAGTAATGTTTTTATGGTTTTAAGGTACAAATGTATATTCATAAAATTGTATCAAAATTTGTTCATATCCTACATGTAAGAATTATAGTATGCTAAGTATATAATAAAACTATATATACATGTATAAGTTAATTATATTTATGGAATGGCAGTTCACCACGAAAGCGCGCATTTCTACTCAGGCCATATATAAGATATTGATTGTTTACCCTCTCCCGAATCAGGCTAGAAACATCAGGTAGTTGGAAATAATTTTTTTCACAGAAAGCTCCAACTTCAATGCTGAATTTTCAAAATATGTTAAAATAAAAATTTAACACTTGCTGACGGGATGAGCAAAAATAATCGATTTCTGGAAGTTAAAATAAAAGTTGAGTCGGGCCATTTTAACCAGTCGGTCGAGAGAGGGCAAACAGACTTTTTTTTAAAGATGGTCCCATTTCCACTGGCTTTGTGTTGGTACTATGTCATTGGATTTGTATAATGATTTTTGAATTATTCTTTAGATTATTTATAATCACGATATACATGTATTAGAAGTGTCATTAAAGCTGTCTCTGTATACACGCTTTTGACAAGATATGGCATGTTTTAAAGTGACGCATTATCCCAAGTACGTAGAAATGCATAAGCTAAAGGTTTTGTTTATTTTTTTTTTAAATTCTAATGAATCACAATTACACAATTCTATAATTTGTTTTTATCTATATATTTTTTGAAGATATTTACCTTTGAAGATATTCTTAAAAGTAATCTTTTTTTTAATATCACGTTATTTAGATGTACTGTCATATTTCACAGATACTTTTCTTTGCTCAATTGAAAATCTTTAATGAATTTTTATTATCTCTCCATTTTTTTTTAACAAAAAATTTTGTTGAACATTTCTTAGAAAAAGAAAACCATAGACATATCGTATTGTAAATACAATCGTGAAAGTGGAAAATATTTGATATTGAAAAAAAGAATAAAACTCAGTTCACATGAAAAAGACAAAGGGCTTACATATTGTACGAAGGATTGACCTGTCCACAGGGAATGCTCACTCCTCCATTGCACCTGATCCTACCTCCGGTATTTTTGCCCTACTGTCAATTTGAATTGTTTATGATAGAGCCTTTCTCTCACATTTTCTATTTTCACATCAGAAATACCACGATACTTTTAATATCTGTAAGCTTTTATTTTTGCACGTAACTGCAGTTTTCGTAAACAACCAAATAATATGTATGATGTTTATATTCTTCCCATTTGCACGACATTGTTCCTTGCGAATCAACTTTGAGTTATCTTCTTTTGTAAAAACAGATTTTGTATCTTTTGAGTGATGTTTATAAATTTTGCCTATTGCTTAATCCAATCTATTTCTATAAATAAAATATCGTTTAAATTACAAACTACATGTACATCTCTAGTGGACTGATTTACAAACGCTTCATTGACAAAATAACAGAACTTGTTTAATGTTAATTTCTTTTTCTATGATGAAAGCATCAAACTGGCTTAAGGCTATTCCCTGCATCAATTACACGCCATCATTGATTGATATAGTGAAAGTGAGTCAATTTTAATTGAAATAATTATTAGATAACAGCTCATTATGCTGCTTTTGAGGGATATATTTTCAAGACCATTATCTACACATCAATTTTTATACTATATTTGTCCATTTGAACGCCGTATTAGGGCTTCTTTCCAATTAAATCAATTTGAAAATCCCATCTACCACTTTTTTAAAAACAATTTTTGGTAAAAGATTGGGTTTATATATATTTTCATTTTTAGACTCTAATTATTGACAAAGCCGTCACGAGAATGATAAAATATTGTAAATATTTTTTTTTTCATCTTTACTGTACTGGCTTTAAGCTTCAAAAAAGAAAATCATATGAAATTTGTTATTCTAATTTTCAACAACTACATGTACACGCTAATTAAAATGGTTTGCAAACTTTAGAAATGATCCATATTGCTACGTTTCCCATATAAACAACGGAATATTTAAGAATGGATAAATTACACCGAATTAATAACAGTTGTCATCTTCACGGTAGCTCACTCAGTAGAGCGCTCGCTCCGTGATTGGACGGTCGTGGGTTCGAGCCCCGACCGCGACTGACCTAAGTCGATCAACTGTCCTTCGTCAAGCGTTCGGTACTAAGTAGTGAAAGTTGCGGGTCCTTCGGATTAGACTAAAAAACCGAGGATCCGACAGGCGTTGGTACGATAAAGATCCATCACTGTTCAATGGCCCTAAGTGCCGAGCAAAGGCCCTTCACCGGTATATGATGACGTCTCTATATGAGCGAAAAATTCTCGAACAGGACCTAAAACAACATAAAATCAATCAACAGTAGTTGACAGCGATAATCACTTTCTTATGGTTATTACATATGTTACGTAACTAAAGCCACCAAATTCAAACGCAGATATAGTGCAATAAACAGAAATTTACAGTCGTAAAATATTTTGCCGAACCGTCGGAATGGCTTAACTGAAATAGAATCATCAGTTACACTAGTTAGATATGCCGCCTTTGAGATATCCTGACGTCAATATGACCTTCACAGTTCTAATGCGGAATTTGGTTCATCAAATAGACATTCCAATTTTCTTGAAAATGCCATCATGTCATCAAATAAGGGTAATTTTGTAACATTAAAAGAGGTTTCAGTCCCGATCTATGCACTACGGCATCAGATTTCAAAGTAAAAGCAAATAACCTGTTGTGCATGATTTTTACTTATAAGAACATTTTTTTAGCAGATTGTTTATGGCCTCTATGGCCTCTTTAATGCCGTTGTTTCTTTATGTCATCTCTGTTTATTTTATGCCGCCGAGTACGATTTATTGTGCGCTGATTTCTTGTTTACTTCCCCCTTTTATTGGCACTGTGGACGTTTAGTGATTAGCTGCAGTTCAGGGTTGATTCCACTGAGGCATCCGGCAAATGGAACTATTTCTTCGCACATCACGCGACACTCTACTTAGTTTGCTAATATGCCGATTCCATGCAGTCAAATTTTATTCAACAAGTTTACGATTTTTTTTTCTGGTTTTATTATACATGTAATTATGTTTAAGCCAAAACAGACCTTGTATATCATTTTTCAAAAAATAATTAGAACTTTTTGAAAAATAATTTGCACTTAAATGTGTGTGCGTTTATAAAAAAAAATCTTTCGGTGTTGTTTTGTGTAAATTTTATTGCTTCTTCTTATTTCAAAACTTCAGGAAGGAGTTTATTTAAGAAATGAATTGAATTTTTGAAGATTCATAAGGACGTGAACTACGACGCAGAATATGTGTTATGAACTGCAAATAGGAATGGACATAATTGTTGTGGATCAATCAGTGCAGTACAATATCATGGTGCCCATGTGTAAAAGTTCATGCAATCATTTCTTTTTCAAGTTATTAAAAAAAATTAACAGATGCGTCCTTATTTACATAAATCTTGACAATGTATCAAATACAATAATTATTAGTTGATTTTTTTTAAAAAGAAAGAATGGTTTGTTTTATTCATCTGCGTACAAAGGTTTAATCATAGTCTTTTTTCGTTTTTGTTTTTGTTTTGTTTGTTTTTTTGTTTTTGCTGTATCTGCTTCTAAATCTTGTTTGAATAAAAAGGTTTTTTTTTCTCTAAGCTTTACTCTTATTTGTAAACATAATATTTTTGTTCTTCGTTTTAATGAATAAGCTTACCCCGGATTAGAAGACAAATAGCAAGCTAAGGATACTCAGTATTAAAAGTCAACGTCAATCGTACAATAATCGTTACACTGCATTTATTTACGCTGGGGACAATATGTTTAAAGCTCATACTAATGTAATCCAGAGAGAAACTAAATGTAAATCCGTTTAAGGATATCCGATCCTCAGCCAGGAAGGATAACTCTTAAATCTATTATATTATTTAAAAAGTCTCAAAATGAAGCTTAAAATTGAGATCTTTTCGTGCAACAATTTTCATTTTGTGCATCTCAATAGGATTCAAGCATCTCTGAAGTCTCGGAAACGGTCTTTTAAAAAGTTGACATTAGGACCCAATAAAAGAAAAAAATCAATTGATTTACAGAGAAATCGAATTTCCTTTAAATTGGCTTTAATCTAGCTTTAGATACCAATGTTTATTAGCATGATATGAAATTAGACGTGATCTGTGATGTCTAGCAATGATACCACAAGCTTTTTACATTATGTATTATCTACATATAACAACTGAAGTAAATAGAAGGACTAAAATACTGTATAAGCATAAACAAGATACAATTTTCTCCAAATGCCTGGATACCTATATTTTGTTATCGTAAAATATATTTGTTGATCAATTTTCAATTAGAAAATGCATAGCTGGTGTTTTTATTCGCATTTCCTGAAAATA